AGCGCATCAAATGGTTGGCATTTTTTGTATTGCTTGACTGATGCAACAGTTATACGTTTAAAAAAATTAATCATCGACCTGTCAGCATGTAAGACAAATTTAAAAGTTCTAGCGTTCTAGCTTTTCCAATTTCTGACTTGAATTGTTTAAGCAGCCGAACAGATCTACAGAATATTTTAGTTGCTTTTGTGCCCAGCAAATCTGGGCATCTGTTTAAGCCGTTCCTGTTCTCTTTTTGAGATCCAGGAATTCACAGCAAAAATTGAGGTTTCTCATACTTCTTGTAGTTTTCTCAAATTTTTAGAATTTCAGGCTTCTCGCGAAATTTTGATGTGTACGACGAAGAAGGTTACTACAGTAGCGTAACCTTTCCGGCACAGTACAGTGCTTACGAACGAGCTCGTCCTGTTCATCCAACACCACCCCCCGCTGCGACAATACCGCAGACGTTGCCAAAAAGCTGTGCGGATGATAATTTTAGGATTATTTCGGAATATCCTGTGCCAATTACAGAATTGTGACTACAAGCATTTGTATTTTTTTCTTCGTTCGGTGACATTTGGGAAGTAGCACTAACTTTCGTTTCTTCTATCAAATTTCAGCTAATTACTTTTCCTGTTCCATTTTTTCCTGAGTTCCTGTTGCTCAAATTTCAATCCGTTCTCTCGCCTGGGTTCAGGTGCTTAAAAGAGCCAGAAGTCAAAATGGCCAAAAGAGGACTCGAGTAGAAGTGGGAATGAATGACTTTTTGAAACGTAACGATTTTCTATCCTAAGCCCAATACGCATTACTCAAATGTCATTGAACGAATTTGAAGCGGGTAAACTGCTGCATTGCACCAGTGAAACTTGTACATATTTCACAAAATTAAAGGCAACAGTCTTGTGGTTTCCAGAAGACGTGTAACCTGGTGACATAAAAGATTCTCAACACGCCAGTCGGTGACGCGCTTACAGGCCAATAGCAATGTGAGGTTTTACCGAAATAAAATCCTTTTGAAGAAATTACTTTGGCAAATAAATCGAAAACTGCTTTTTATACCTTGTTAATTACTGATTAAGTCCCAGGATTTACTAACATAATGTACAAAATTAGAAATTCATTTGATCTACTGGGATGAAATTTGCTGTTGCAATACACTCAATTTGCTGAACGCTCCAGTTTGTGCTGAACACCACTGCATTTACAGTCCATTTGATTGTTCATTTTCTTCCTTGGTTGGCACCACATCCTGAAAGACAATCTTACCGTTTATTATCCAACTGGATAACTTGTCCCACTTAGTAAACGT